AAAAAACCAAGGCACGAACTGGCTCATCATCTCAGTGCCTGGCGATACCACCAGGCGCAGACGCATTTTTTCCACCCAGGTGCCGCGCCCGTCTTCGTCCATGAGAACGAGGTTGTACCGCTGAGTGGTCTCCCCGACCTCAGCCACGCTCCGCACTCCACTGCTCGTGCACCGCAATCGCCCATGTTTCCGATCGCCGAGGAAATGCGCGGCCAATGCAACCACGTGGTCTCTCCACGCTGCAACTGCGAAGCGCACTCCTGCTTCACCTGCGCCCTCATGCGCGCCCAGGGCGACGGCGGGCGCCGCTGTGCCTTCCTCGATTCCATCTGCTAACCTGGCGAACGCGGACTCCGTCATCGCGTTCGCGTCCACCTCATTGAAGCTGGACTTCTCCATCATAACCATGTTCGGGATACGGCGATTCACGTCCTCGCAGGCTTCTTCCACCGTCGCCTTCGCGCCGTCTGACGGGGTCGCGTTTTCTTGCACCATCACCTTGTCCAAGTGGTTGTCGTACGGCAGCAGGCGAACGATCTCTGGCGGAACGCCGTTCTTTGGCAAGCTTTCTGCGCGCGCATCTATGCGGCCCTCGTCCACGCGCGCGAAAGCCCGATGCCCGCGGGACATCATCTTTTTGATGTGGTGCTTCACAACGTCCCGCCGTACTGTTGCTTGGTGGATGAACTGCGGCAAGTTTTGCTTCGTCGTTGCGTCGCTCACCTTCAACAAAACCTGCACTACATGGGCCAGCTCACTACCCGCGCGCGGCAGGTCGACACCTCCAGCGCCCTCGGCCCAACTCTGCTTCCGCCGCAACTCCGCAAGGATACCCTGCCACGGAAGGGCAAACGAGGTTGCGTTCCCGCGCGCCGCCACCCTCGTCTCCTGCATCCCGGCGACAGTGTCGAACAAATTCTGATACTTCACTTCCAACGAAAACCAACGAAAATCATATCATTGAGGTAATGCACGGACTACAACAAATCATCTCCATCACGGTCATGCCATCGTCGTACATGCTGAGTGGTCCATAAAACGTCATCAGATCGTTCGCCAGGCAGCGCGCAGGCATCTGTGGTTTCTCTCGCATCCTTGCACCGTCCCACTTTATTTTCGGGGTCTTGATGCCTTCGGCGCACTCCCGGCAGACCGGCACTTCACACTCTGGACACGCGGTCTTCGCTTCCACGCACCCGCCCGCGCAACGCACATCTTCTGGACAGCACAACAAGTCGAACCCGCCCCCAGGCACTCCTGAATCTCGCGAGCACTGCACGCGCAGCTTCCAATCGTCGAACTCTCTCATATGCTTCATCAGGTCGAGCTTCTCGTTTCCCTCCTCATACCTGTACCTCCGAAGGTGCGCCAGGAGACCGAAATCGCGCGAAGCGTCCGCAATGGACCACGCGCCCATGCGCGCTACTCGAGAGCTATCTTCTGGTCCGCTCTCAAACAGTTTCTCCCACGATATATCGCTGTTTTCTCGGCCGGCCACCCGCGGAAACGAGCACGCGCACAAAAAGCATATGGGTGACCCTACGTTCTTGCCGGCTGTCGCGTCCGCATATCCTTTCAGGCTGCGTCGATGCATTGCATGCGTGGAGAGCGGCGCGTCCTGCCGGGTTCTCTGCGACACCACCTCGCTATACGCCGCCAGCATCCTCTCGTTTTCCTCGTGCACCGGGGAATGCGCGGCCGCAATGGGCTGCAGGACGTCTCCGTGCCCTGCGGCAACGTGCTCGACCAAGTCCGCTTCTGTGGCACCCGACCATCGACAGCCGCGGAACGCGCAGTGCGCGGCCGGTAATTCAACCGCGCGGTCTTCGGCCAACGCTTCCGCCCACGGCACCAACGGGTCTCTGGGGTCAGCAGGTGCGCCCGGGCACTCCCGCAAGAGTTCCGCCGCCTCTACTACGGCCTTCTCCCGGCTCCTCCGAGGATCTTCCGAGTGCGGGTTCGCGCGGGCCGCAAAGAACCACTCCTGCGCCTCGTCCGCCACTGGTGTGTTTATCGCATCCGCAGCCTCGCCGCCCTCAACGTTGCCAGGCGCGCCCTTATCGCATCTGCCACCGCATTCCGCCCCATCGGCACACCCTCCCCCGTTCCATGCCGCAACCAACACTTTGCTTGCCAACGCCTCTCCTCCCCCGCCGCCACCTGCCCTGCCTTTCCGCCGCGCCCGCGCGACCCCCTCTGCGTGCCCATCACCCGCGGCGATCGGCGGAGCAAGACCTGTCCCCGCTTCGCCCGGGTTCGCCGCGCCTCGCCCACCAACGCCGGCGATTCCCCGCATTGCGGAACTGGTAGCCCTCGGGCCCGCCCCCGCCAAACCGCGTCGATCGCATCGCGTCTTCGGCGCCACCCCTTCCCGCGTTGACGTCTCCACGCGGCTTTGCTTTCTCTGGCGCATAGGCGCCACCGTCGCGAACAATCTTCTCCTGCGACGTCGATCCGCGCACAGCGCGCGCAGAGCCACCCTCCGTCACTGCGTTGCGATGGTCAACCACCCGTGCTGCAGCGCGGTCGGCCTTCCGCCGTGCACATTCCACTTCGTCCGACGCTTTCACTACGCAGCCCGAATTTCCCGACGAGTGCCCGAAACTGCACGACGCGTCAACGCCGTTACTCTGCGCACTGAATGCATTGCCAAGAAACTCCCCGCTTGCAGATGCGCCTCGGAGTCGCTTCCTCTCGGGCAGTTGCGACTCAGAATTCGGTTCCGTGCGCGCATGCACGAGGAGGAAAGCCTGCGCCTGCTGCACCTCTGCCACTGATACGGACTTCGGAACGTTCTCGTCGTCGCAGTACACCCACTCACCGCTGGACGTTTTCGCGCACGCCGTGTAGTGGCCGCCGTACCCATCCCCCGCGCGCACGCAAACAGCGGCCAACTCGCCCGACCACTGCCCCGAGTCCTGCTCGAATACGAATGGAAAAGCAACGGGCTCGTTGACTTTCTCCCTTAGCCACCCGCCCGGAGTACGTTGCAGGAGCAGCCTGCGAATGTGGAAGCACACTACCTGCGGCCACCTCGCGATGCGAGTTCGCTTGTGCAACTCACCCTCCACTCCGCACCTGGAGCACGCGTCTCCTGCGCCCTCCAATCGCTCTACCGACTCGAACTCTGCCACCAGCGCTTCCACCGTGGTTGCAGCCGTTGGGGGCGCTAGTGAAATGCACGAGAACATCTCCCCATCCGACAAACTCTCTGAGTTGCACGCGTTGCACCTTAATAGCGTTTCTTGAACTCCCCCGAATACGGACCGCAGCGGCGCGGTCAGGGTCTCCGCATCCTTCCAGCCGTGCCGCATCTGGTGCTCGGGCGCCACTGTTGCGAACCTGGCCATGTCCACTGCATGCATTGCTGCTGTCAACGTCACAAACGCCTCGTGGATATCTTGCTGAGCGGTCCCTGCGAACAATCCCCCGCTCCACGTCGCTCTCGACGCAGCCACTCGCGGGACCACAGGCCTCCGCTCTTCTTCCCGACGCATGCCCCTGATGTCGTTTCCCACGCTGCACAACACGCAGTTCCGCGAACACGCCGTCCCCGCAGTCTCTACGCGCTGCGTTGCCCACGCTGCTATCGACGGAATGCTGCCCGAACCCCCCGCAGCTTGGACCAAGACGCCCCACGAGAGCCTCGAACCAGCCCGAGGCTCCGCGATAAGGCCCCTGGGCGAGCCCACAGGTAACCCCCAATAGAGCCCAAAGACGCAATGAAAGGCCAAAACACTCCAAGCACCCCTTTCCCCATGCGTGCATCCAGAGAAATAAAAGGGTCGGCGGCATGGCGCAAGCCTATGAATCTAAAACTTGGGTTTGCCTGGGGGGTAACTCTTTCTGGAGATCTCCCGCGTCAACGACCATCGGCACTTCAACTCAGTGCGTCAACTCGGCTTGTCAACTAACAGCATCAGCGCACGTCAATTCGGAACGTCAACAGGGTGTTTCACCTCTGTTCGTCAACTCGGTGCGTCAACTCCTGAATAAAGGAGAGCCGCAGCTTTAACTTCCTAAACTCACGCGCCGGATCGGCGGATTACGGTTACGCGTTCCAGCGGTCTCCAGCAGGGCGCGCTGGCCGACGTAGTCACGCCTGCCCAGGCAGACGGCGAGGACATTGAGGGTGCTGGAGACCTCTCAGAAAGGGAACACGTGCCGATAAGGTGAGACGGTGAGGGCATGTGATAATGGATTGGTACGGCCCACTGGCTCCAGCACCTTGAACCATCGATGCCTTCCTTGCGCAGCTTTCCTGCGAGCGGGCCGCCCCAAATAGTATAGAGCAGAAGGACTACCCTTACGATAACCACCCCGACAAGCCAAGCCCTTCAGTAAACGCACCCGAGGAAACGAACGGGGCAGAGAGCCGAGCCCTTTCGGAGGGGACCTCACCCAGACATGCTCACGTCGTGGAGGCTCAGCAAATGCAAGCGGAGCTTGTCCGACACGAGCACACACACAGGCAAGCGCGACAAACATTCGGTGAGACAGAGGCCATAAGTTCAGGACAACTGTAGCAAGTGCGAACGGTGCGGGCACAAGCCCAAGGCAAGCAGCTCGACTGTGAACGGATCGACCGCGCCCCGTTGAACAGGAACTGGGCAGAGGAAGGTCATGTAGAGCATCATCGCGTCCGCAGACCAGACCAAGGCCAAGAAACACACGCTGGCCAGTCCTTGCCAGCCCAAAATTCGCCACGCTTCCGCCAGAGCATGAACACATTTCGGTTGACAACAGTGGGCCACTGCCGTAATCGCCATGTCGCCAAGAACATCAAAGGCCAATCGGAGCCCCACAAGCGCGAGGATCTGTGATGGAGGCAATGGTGCGGACCATGACTTGTTCGGCTGCACCTTCGCGACAATGAGAAAGCCTGCGATGGTTACCTGAGCAACGGCCCCGACGATGTTGTAATACGCAACAACCGTTGCCAAGAGATGGCGGCGACACTGCTGATGCTGCTGCTGCTGCAGCTGCTGCTCGCAGCCATCCTTCTCGGGGCCATCGTTGTCCAATGTCTCGCTGCATGGGCCCGCGTCGCCGTGAGTCTCGCCAGCCCGCTCTCCGCTGCCGGCTTGCTGTGCGCCCAGGACGGTCGGATCAAGAGACACGATGTCGTCGAACCCTGGGTGAACGAAGCTCATCCTTCCCGTTTTGCGGTGGCTGCAGCAACGCCCGAGGCAACACAAGCGATCTCGCAAGCTCTGGAGCGGCGTCGTCCCCGACAACAAGCAGTACTTGAACCTGAGCTCCATGAGCAGAGAGCCGAATTCGATGCAAACGCCAGAGACGACACTGGTGGAGCCCAGCTGCAAAATGGTAGCCAAAGTCAAACCGAAGCAAACCGGCCCTCCCATCAGCACTGCCGCGAACCGCAAGCAACGGAACTGGAGCATGTGGAACGCAAAAAAAGTAGCTCTCCATGATGACCATGGTCATAGTCGCTGGAGCAACGATGCCCACCAAGATACGCGCAAGGTCACCCTCGATGGCGAAGTACCCATTCAATGTCACATCCCGTCCGTAGAACACTACCACGGAGGCAATCGCAACGAGAATATTGAGGAGCAATGTCGTCAACCACTCTCTGCGCGGAACCAGCATGAGGAAGAGCCCAGATGTGATAGGAAGCCAAAGCACGGAACTGACGCCCATCCCGAAGACGAGCCAAGACCCTTCGCTGAAGTCAAGCGACATGCTGACATGCAGTGCAAGACAAATGAATCGCAAGGTCCAACTCAAAACAAAATTAACGCATTCCGAAGCGACAAGGGTGATACGTAAGTGCCTTTCTCCGGAATTGAGAGCATGATACACGGCAATACCAAAGCCGGGAGCGGCGATGCATTCCATGAAGAAGAAGCGCAATGCTTTGAAAACAAAGAAAGGGGTCCTGTCCCGAACTTCCGTGCGAACGCTCACCGCCCATGTCACCGGGTCCAACGGTAGTGTCCCAACTTCGTCGTCTTGACCCTCAATCCGAAGGAGGGCCGCAGATGTCCAACGAACCAATGTGCCACATGGCCAGGAAACCGCAACAAGCCCAACGATGGATGCTGGAATGACATATCTGAGCACCCTTGCAAAATGTGCGGCATCGCTCTCATGTGGAGGCCGCGCCATGCTTGCTCTGCTTGAGCCCTTGAGCCAAAATGGCTACGGAAGCGCTATTAGGCGCTCTTGGGGCCGTCTTGCTCCTACTACTACTACTACTACTACTACTACTACTACTACTACTACTACCTGTACCTACTATTACTACTACTTCTACTGCCACTACTACTACTGCTGCTACTACTAGAGCTACTACCCACTACTACTATGACTACTGCTACTGCTACGACAACGACTACGACTCCCACTACGAATACGCCTGCTACTACTGCTATTCCTATTACTACGACGCCGTCTACTACTACTTCTACTACTTCTACTACTTCCTACTACTACTACTACTACCACCACTACTACTACTACGAACTTTCTACAAGCTTCTACTACTACTAGTACTACTACTACTACTACTAAAACGACTACTACTACTAATACTTCTACTACTACTACTACTACTACGCCTGCTACTGCTACCCCTACCAATTCTACTACTACCACCACCACTACCACCACCACTACTACTTCTTCTACTACTACTACTACTACTACTACTACAAATCATAGCGCTACAACTACTACTACTACTACTACTAATACTACTACTACTACTACTACTACTACTACTACTAATAATACTACTAATACTACTACTACTACTACCACTACTACTACTACTACTACTACTACTACTACTACTACTACTACTACTACTATTACTACTACTAATACTTCTACTACTACTACTACGCCTGCTACTGCTACCCCTACCAATTCTACTACTACCACCACCACTACCACCACCACTACTACTTCTTCTACTACTACTACTACTACAAATCATAGCGCTACAACTACTACTACTACTACTACTACTACTACTACTACTACTACTACTACTACTACTACTACTAATAATAATAATACTACTAATACTACTACTACTACCACTACTACCAATACCACCACTACTACCACTACTTCCACCACTACCACTACGACTACGACTACGACTACGACTACGGCTACAACTACGACTACGACTGCGACTACGACTACGACTACGACTACGACTACGACTACGACTACGACTACTACTACTACTACTACTACTACTACTACCACTACTACTACTACTACTACTACTACTACTACAACTACTACGCATACAACTATTACTGATACTGATACTTCTGCGACTACGACAACGACCAATAATCGTATTTTTAAACGGCTACTGCGGCGAATACTAATAGTCGTATCACTAACAACAATACTAATGGCACGAATCACAATACGAGCACAACTACTGCGAATCATTACATTATCAATCAAACTACGAATGCACATCATAACAATCATACATACTAATACTCGTGATACTTCCAAGAAAAACAAACCCGATACCAACTACCATCACAAGAAAGAGACCGGATAATCCGCAGGATGTTCCCTAAAGCCACCAAGCTTCGCGCGTCGCATCGCCCGAACCGCGCGCCTCTCCGCGCGCCCTGCGCGGCCTTTCCGGAGGAGGGCGCTGCCCAGACCAGGCCTTTGCCGCCACGGCGCGCGGCCGTGGCGAAGCTCCCTTCGCGCCCACAGGGGGGCGATCAGCAGAGGGGGCGATCAGCAGGGGGGGCGATCAGCAGGGGGGCGATCAGCAGGGGGGGCGATCAGCAGGGGGGCGATCAGCGGGGGGGCGATCAGCAAGGGGGGCGATCAGCAGGGGGGGCGATCAGCAGGGGGGCCGGGGCGACCAGCAGGGTGGATGGGGGATCAGCAGGGGGGCGATCAGCAAGGGGGGGGCGAAGAGGCCTGCACGCCTGCACCTTTTGTGCCCCAGAGGGTCCCGTCAGGGCCCCCAATGTTCACGACAAATGAACCTCTCCGCACCTCTCAATCAGCGCCTCCCCCATTACGCAACGCCCGACTTCGCAGAGAAACAGCCTGTCTAGAAGCTGTGCGGGCGTTGCTTCATGGGGGGCGATCAACAGGGGGGAAAACAAACAGTTCCGATACCACTACTCCGAGGACCTCTCCCAGGGTGCGGTCTGACAAGGATATCGAGGCGAGTGCAGCGGTGGCGACGGGGGCCTCCGTGGAAGCCCAACAAGGGGAAAACGAGAAAGGGGTAGAGGTATGGGTACTTTTTCCTCCTCTGAAGTAGAGGGGGGGGCGAAGTCTGCAACTCTGTGCCCCAGGGGCTCCGTCAGGGCCCCCCAGGTGCACGACAAGGGAAAACGAGAAAAGGGTAGAGGTATGGGTACTTCTGCCTCCTCTGAAGCCGGGGGGGGTGAAGAAGCCTGTACCCTTTTGTGCCCCAGGGGGCCCCGTCAGGGCTCCCCAAGGTGCACGACAAATGGACCTCATTACGCAACGCCCGACTTCTCAGAAAAACATGCCTGTCCAGAAGCTGTGTCGGGAGCTCTGGGAAGACCCTGCAGCGCTCTAGAGCGATCTCCCCTGCACGTGCCACGAGGGAAAAAACGGCCCTTCAAGAAAGGTGTCCTGGAGACCCTCGGGTTGCCACAGGCGCAAGTCTTCCATCCCGAGTCGTTTCATGACTGTCCAAAGCCTCGGAGAAACCCCTGGATGCGGGCAAGACTTGCTTGCATATCCATCGCAGCTTGGAGCTTCGAGCTCCCTTCCCCCCAAACCCCGAGGCGAACTGGATATGGATGCCAAACTGGCCCCTAGAGGCTCGATGCTTATCCGTGTCCAGTGCGCCTCGGTCTTGCGGCGACCCTTCCAAGAAAGTCCAAGACGCACGGGATATGGATATGAAGGTTGCCCGCTCTGGAGGCCCAAACAGTCGAAGCACATAACCTCTTTTCCTCGGGAGCGCCTCCCCTCCGTGGCGGAGGGCGATCGCGAAGCGCTCCGAGGAGGCCCTGGGGGGCCAGGGGTGGAGAGAGGGAGTAGGGAGAAGGAAATGGACCACCGCCACCATCTGGAGGATGGAGGCAGAGGGTGACCCGGGGTTGTGGTGGTGGTGGTGGTGGTGGTGGTGGTGGTGGCGGTGGTGGTGGTGGTGGTGGTGGTGGTGGTTGCGGTGCGTATCGTTTCGGGCGCTCTCGCGGAACAGCGTACACACCCGCATCCCGCACACCAGCTCAGGTGATGGTGGTGGTGGTGCGCTTCCTGCTCCCAATGGGGGGGACGAAAAAGACGAGGAGCAGGGAGGGGCAGGAGGAGGAGGAGGAGGAAAGAAGCCGGAAGACGCGAACTCTTGGAGCCCCGAAAGGGGTAACTACGGAAAAATGGGCACGATACCCGACAGCAAATGTTGCGCAACACCGACAGCGGCCGCTGTTGGGCAGGCGGCCTGCTGCCCCAAATGGGCCACGCCCGCGGCGACACCGACGGCAGGTTCTGCTCAAAACGAGCAGGCGCTGCCGCCGGCCTGCGTTCCCATCCTTTCCGTAACCATGTGGATCGGACCGAGGACGGGGGCAGGGGGCAGGGGCAGGGAGGAAGGGGGGAGGAAGGGGGGAGGAAGGAAGGCTTCTCAGAAGGAGGAAGGGGGATCGGCGCGCAGAGGTGGGTAGGGGGAGGGAGGAAGGCTTCTCAGAATGAGGCCGCTTCTTAAAAGGCGCCACCCCTACATCTACAGACAAGGCCCGCGCCATCTAAGAGGCAAGGGTGCTTTAAAGAAACCTTCCCCCCTCGCCCATCCCCCCCTCTGCGCGTGGCCGACCTCGCACTCATTCTTCCCGCACAGTGGAGGCCAGTCCACAAGAAACCTTCCACAAGAAACCCAACCCTGAGACACCAGGACGTCCATCGATTTTTGGTGTGGGAACGTCGCGCTTCCCATCGCAAAACCATCGAAACCCAAGAAAAAACCAGGGCACCCTGGAGGCAAGCGGGGTGCTTCTTGGCACGGGCCCCCACTGCAGCCGCGTGGACTTGGCCGAGAACGGGGGCGGGGAGCGGCGAGGCTCGCCCCCGTGCCCCCCCCGCCTGGCCGCGGCCACACACACCCAAAGAGGTCCTGCACCGTGCAGCGCTGCAGGATCCGGACGTCCCAATGCGGGTTTTGGGCGCCGCCGTCGGCCGGCCGCCCCCACCGCAATGCCAGGGGGGGGAGGGGCGGGCAGTGGCCCTGAAGCAGCCTCCCCTGCTCCCCCTCCCCCCTTCCCTTCCTGGGCAAGCCGCTGGAGCGAGTGCTCGAGGCGTCACTGCTCCTCCCTCCTCCCTCCTCCTCCTCCTCCTCCTCCTCCTCCTCCTCTTCCTCCTCTTCTTTCCCTTCCTCCTCCCCCTCCTTCCCCCTCCTCCTCCTCCCTTCTCCTCCTCCTCCTTCTCCTCCGCCTCTTCCTCCTCCTCCTCCCTCCTCTCCTCCTCCTCCTGCTTCTCCTCTTCCTCCTCCCCCTGTTCACCCTCCTGCTCCACCTCCTCCTCCACCTCATCCTCGTCTTCTTCTTATTCTGATTATTAGTCTCATTATCATTATTACTACGGTTATGATTACTACTACTACTACTACTACTACTACTACTACTACTACTACTACTACTACTACTACTACTACTACTACTACTACTACTACTACTACTACTACTACTACTACTACTACTACTACTACTACTACTACTACTACTACTACTACTACTACTACTACTACTACTACTACTACTACTACTACTACTACTACTACTACTACTACTACTACTACTACTACTACTACTACTACTACGACTACTACTACTACTACTACTACTACGACTACTACTACTACTACTGCTACTACTACTAACTACTACTACTACTACTACTACTACTACTACTACTACTACTACTACTACTACTACTACTTACTACTACTACTACGACTACTACTACTACTACTACTACTACTACTACTACTACTACTACTAGTACTACTACTAGTACTAGTACTACTAGTACTAGTACTCTACTACTACTAGTACTACTACTACTACTACTACTACTACTACTACTACTACTACTACTACTACTACTACTACTACTACTACTACTACTACTACTACTACTACTACTACTACTACTACTACTACTACTACTACACTACTACTACTACTACTACTACTACTACTACTACTACTACTACTACTACTACTACTACTACTACTACTACTACTACTACTACTACTACTACGACTACTACTACAACGACGACGACGACGACGACGACGACGACGACGACGACGACGACGACGACGACGACTACTGCTACTACTACTATTACTACTACTACATTACCAGTATGTTTCCTCTTATGTTCCTTCTTATGTTTCTTCATGTTATGAGTAGTCTTCTTCTTCTTCATCCTCTGTTTCTTCCTCCTCCTCCACCTCCTCCTCCTCCTTCGCCTCCTCCTTCACCTCCGCCTCCGCCTCCGCCTCCTCCTCACCATCGTCCTCCCCCTCTTCCTTCTCCTCCTCCTCATTCTCCTTCTCCTCAGCATCTTCTTTCTCCCGCTCCTTCTCACCCTCCTCCTCCTCCTCCTCCTCCGCCTCTCCCTCCTCCTCCTCCTCCTCCTCCTCCTCCTCTCCCTCCTCCTCCTCCTCCTCCTCCTCCTCCTCCTCCTCCTCCCCTTCCCGGCATGAGTTGGCATGCTTTGATATGCATTGGCATGCATGGGCATGCATTGATATGCATTGGTGTGCATTGGCATGTTTTGGTATGCTTGCGCATGATTTGATATGCTTCGAAATGCTGTGGCATGCATTGGGGCAACCTCGCCCTCCAGGGTGGTGACACCAAGACGCTGGGCCCGCCAACGGGGTTAAGGCGCCTCAAAGCCATCTTACCTCAAGTCCTCCTCCTCCTCCTCCTCCTCCTCCTCCTCCTCCTGCTCCTCCTCCTCCTCCTCATCCTCCTTCTCGTCCTCCTCCTTCTCCCTCCAATTACTTCCTCCTATTCCTCCTCCTCCTCCTTCTCCTCCTCGTGATTCAGGTTTGGGGCAGCGTCGGGCAAAGCTCCGACGCCCTCAGTTCCGCCTCCTCCTCCTCCTCCTGCTGCTCCTCCTCCTCCTCACATTCCGCATCCTCTTCCTTATCCTCCTGTTCCTGTTCCTCCTTCTTCTCCCCCTCTCCCTCCGCCTGCGGAGAGGGGAGCGAGGAGGCAGGTGACGAGGAGGTGCGAGGAGGAACCGCAGCAGCACCGACAGCCGAAGCAGGAGGTCGACGACGTCATCGGCTAGCACTCTAGGAGGCCACAATAAAAGTTAGCACCGCACAGAAACTGACGACTTGCGCCGCCCTTTATAGGTGGCGACATCCGAACCCCACCCCCACCAACCATCGAGTCTCTTGAATCGATGGGGTGTGGGGACCAGGTTCGGATTTCGCCACGCGTTCGACGAATTTCGAACCTTACCCTCGCCGTCCATCGAGTTGCCTGAATCGTTGATCAAACAAGGGTCGGGGTCGGATTTCGCCGGCGAAGTTGCCCCCTGGAAGACCTGCTTGGTTGCCCCTCCACCCCGCGGCCCCGATGTCAGCGTGAAACATGAGGGTCCCGAGGGAAAGGTAGAGTTGGGAGGAGGAGGAGGAGGAGGAGGAGGAGGAGGAGGAGGAGGAAAGGAGGAGCAGGAGGAGGAGAAGGGAGGAGGTGGAGGAGGAGGAGGAGGAGGAGGAAGAGAAGGATGAGGAGGAGGCGGAGGAGGAGGAGGAGGGTAAGGACGAGGGTAAGGAGGAGGATAGTGAGGAGGCTAACAAGGAGGGGGAGGAGGGGGGGATTGGGAAGGAGCAGATCAGGGAGGAGGTCAGGGATCAGGCCATCGAGGAGGGGCTCCCGAAGGAGACCATGGAGGAGATTCATGTTTTGCTGTCCTCATCCTGGCGAACTTCTGGAAAAACGATTGCACCGTAAAAAATCAAGGAAGCCAGGGAACAGAGGGAATGGGGAGAGACCCCTGGAGCCTTCCCTGGGGCCAGCTCCTCCTCCTGGGCCATTGCCTGACGGCCCCGGGAGCCCGGAGAGCGCCCCAGGGGCCGACCGCAGCGACAAACCTCAGGATGATGGGCCTGTTTTCCACCACTACCACCATAAGTTGGAGGGGGAGGGGGTCCTCCTCCTCCTCCTCCCCTCCTCCTCCTCCTCCTCCTCCTCCTCCTCCTCCTCCTCCCCCTCCTCCTCCTCCTCCTCGTCCTCCACCTCCTTCCCCCCTCCAACTTATGGTGGTGGTGGAAAACAAGCCCATCACAGGACCCGTCTGCTTCACTCCAAGAGGCGAAAAACAGCAGCTGCACAGAGGCCGCTCACGGGCCCCTACAGTCGGACTTGACTGGAGAGGACACGCGAGAGGACAGAAGACCCTTTCCGAGGGGCACGCTGCCCTGGGAGTGCAGGAGGCATGGGCCGCGAGACGCAGGACACACGGGCACCCTCGACCTGGCAGGGCCGACCTGCCAATCAGGGCCGACTGCCGGACGACGCCTGCAGCCCAAGCGTGCCACCTGCAGCAGCAAATCCACACCGGACCGAACACAATTTTGGGAGGGCGGCGGCAGGCGCCCGTGGTCAGTAGTTTTGCCACGCGCTTGCTCGCACGCGCTGCCGGCCGCCGCCTAAGGGGGCCCGTTGGCTTCACGTCGACGATCCTCTAAACATGTGTTATCGCCAGCGTGCGCTTGCCTACCAAAAGCCCTTCATTGAACGCGACGCAGGCCTACCGTTGGAGCTGAGCGGCGTAAAAGGGGGTACGTGGTGGTGTTTGGTCCGTGGGAGCCTGCGTGGCCCCAGGCGCTGTCCGACCTGGGCCCGATGTTGGGCGCATTCAGGACCGGATGCAGGCCCGATTTGCGCCAGAGTCGCCCCCTTCACAAGGGGGACGAGCTGAACGAGGAGGGGGAGGAGGAATAGGAGGGCAGGAGGGAGCGCCCAATGTGGTCCAGATGCAAAATAAGGCAGATTCCAAGGTCACCGACCAAAACTCCCATGAACAAACATCGAGACACACTTGGGCCACACTCATTGAACAGGCCTAAAACACAATTTTCTCAGAACCCAGAAATGCTCCAATAACGAACACAAGGTTCTTAGAACATAAGCCCGTTGTTAAAAATTGCAATCTCGGCCAAGCATGTTCTGAGAACATCTCGTGCAAACCACAAAGAGTTCTTAGAACATCCCCTGGGGGACCTATAGACAAACCGGGACGCTTCGCCACTGGGGCCGCACGCCATTGTCAACCGCACCCTCCCTCCTCCTCCTCCTCCTTCTGCTCCTCCTCCTCCTCCTCATCCTTCCTCCTCCTCCCTCCTCCTGCTCCTCCCTCCTCCTCCCTCCGCCTCCTCCTCCTCCTCCCTCGCCCGACACTCGCCGGCGAGGGCGGCCCGCCGACGGCGGCTCAGGCGCCGCCAAGTCTCCACGCACAGACGGAAGAGCTCCGGCATCTCCTCGGGGCCCTGCGCCCAGTAGGACCAGATGGTCCGCTGCCCCGGTTCGAGGGGCCGCTGCTCCGGCGGGCCGCCCCTGGCAAGGGGGGGGGGAGAGAGAGAGAGAGAGAGAGAGAGAGAGAGAAACAAGGAGAGAGAGATGAAGAGAGAAAGAGAGAGAGAGAGAAGCAATCCGCCGGTCCCCTTGCGGGGCCACCAGGCTGCGAGGGTGAAGATTGCGGCTACCTGTTCCAATTGCAGTTTCCAATGTCCACTGTTACAGTCCTGCTTTCTGCTTCCTTACTGCTAATTGTTGCTGTCCCCGCGAGGGGTGGGAGCCCCAAACGGAACTTCTTACGACGCCCTGGGAGGGTTCTCAGAATTCCTGGGGGGGCGTGGGACACGCAAAAATACATGATGTTCGCGTCCCCGAGGCTAATCCATAATAAATTACACCATGTTCGCGTCCCCGAGGCCATACACCCTCGTAAACTACGCGATATTCGCGTTCCCGGAACCGTATCCCTATGCAAATTACACGATGTTCGCGTCCCCGTGGCCATCAACGTCGTGAATTACGCAATGCTTCTGTCCCCGACGCAATACCATTTTTGTAAATTATACAATATTCGCATCCCCGAGGTCATACACTCTCGTAAATCACACAGCGTTTGCGTTCTCGACGCCATAAACAGTCGTACATTAAAGCAGATTTCCGCCCCCGAGGCCGTAAACCCTTTCAAATTATATAATATTCGCGTCCCCGAGGCCATAAGCCATTATAACTTATTCAATATTCGCGTCCCCGAGACCATAAACCCTCATACATTACAAAATTGTTGCGTCCCCCAGGCCATAAACCGTGGTAAATTATACAATATTTGCGTCCCCGAGGCCAGTTCTTCAAATTTACAATGCAAGCCGTCCAATAAGATATTGGCCCTCGCGTGAAGTCCCGACATTGCTTCACGTCAGCGTCCAGACATCCCAACACAGCTCTGGCAAGTCCCATTCTAAGAGAGGGGGGGCCGGCGGCAGGGGGCGAAGCCCTTACGGATAAGAAGGCTCGATGGGGGAGGAACAGGAAGAGGATGAGGAAATGAGTGAGGAGGAGGAGGAGGAGGAGGGTGAGGAGGAGGACAACGAAGAAGGGAAGGTGGAACATGAGGATGAGGAGGAGGAGGAGGAGGAAGAGCAGGAGGAGGATTCATTGGGCACGATACGATACGATACAACGCTGCCACAATGAGGATGAAACCTCCGCAAGGACAGGAACACTAGCTGGTCGCAAAAAGGGATGGCAGCAAGCGACGCGCGGCGGGTCCTGGTGTTTCGCCTGCTCAGTCAGGCTTGTCGGCAGTCCTGACACATCTCTGAAAGGTGGGCGGAACTCTCATAATCGAAACCTGCGATGAACTTGAACTGTTCCTCCCACCTCCAGCGCTTAAAAACATGACCCCGGCACTGGGTGCCGAAACAGGTTATGTCGCACGCGAAGTGTATTTGACCCCTCCACATCAAAGCCTGAAGGGCAAGTCTCACGGGCTGGTACTTATGGAACCAAACTACGTGGCCACAGCAATCGTAAACCCGGCGCAGACAGGCAATGCCGGATTTCTTGAAAACCACGCTTATCCAGATAGTGGGCCTCCAAGGCGTTAACATGAGCAAGAAGATCGCCGATGAAAGCCTCCTCATCCTCAAACCGATTCACAGCCTCGCCCTCGGGGATCCTCGGTGCGCGGCGCGAGAGGGCGAAGACGACACTTCAAAAGCACCCCCAGCCCTGCTGCAAACCGTGGAGGATCTATGCGCGCGGCGCTTGGAAGCAAGAACCCCAATTTGAAAAGGCGCCGCCCTCTATGCCCGGAACCGTAACCAAAACTTGCGACAATTGAGCGCGGCGATCGGTAGAAAATTTCCTCTTTTGGACAACGACGTGTGCTTCAACCTCGAAGCTGTTGCAGACGTTTGACACAAATGCGCGTTGTGTTTAGACAGATAACCCGTTTTGGAAACGAAGCTCCACCATCCGTGAAACTGCTGCAAATACCGAGATTCTGAATCATGTCTCAGGCAAATGACCGGTACGCCGTACCGACACGTCTCGGGGTGCGGCAAAGAGTAGTTATTCATTGAGGGAAACGATTACGTGTGTGTGTGTGGGGGGGGGGAGGGAGAAGCTGGAAGGGGGAGGGTGAGGAGGGGAGGAGGAACGAGGCGAAAGGAGGAAGGAGCGGAGGGAGGAGAAGAGGGAGGAGGAGTGGGAGAAAAGGGAGGGAAGGGATGGAATGACGGAAAAATGGGGCAGGGAAGCGAGGGGGGAGCAGACGGAGGGAAGGAAAGAGGACGAGCACGAGGGAGGAGGCGGAAGGGAGAAGAGAGGGGGAGCAGGAGGCGGGAGGAGGGAGGAGGGTTGAGGAAGCAAGGGGGCAATGAGGGAGGAGGCGGAGGAGCGAGGAGGGAGGGGGCGGACGCGCTGGGCCTCGGCGCTGGGCCGCGCGCGCCGAGGGGTCCGCTGCGCCAGTCCTCGCGCCCCTGGGGACATGATGTTGTCTTCCGGGGGGGAGGGGGGCGAGGAGGAGCGAGGGGAGGGGCGGCGAGGGCAGTCGGCTCCACTCGGGCCCCTGGGGCCTCAATTCCCTCTGATCTCGTGGGGCGCCCGGGCATCACCTGGCAGCCTGCCAGCTGAGACTGAGAGGGAGAGGAGGGGGGAGCTAGGGGCGAGGAGGGAGGGAACTAGGGGCGACGAGGGAGGGAACGGGGGAGGGAAGGAGGAACCGAGGAGGGAGACTATTGACGGAGGCGAAGTGGGGAAGGGAGGTGGGGCGAGACATGTCGCACATCGAGCCTGGTGAAAGTGAGGGAGGGAGGAGAAGGAGGGGGAGGTCCTCCACGTCTTCCTCATCCTCATCTTTCTCCTCGCTCCTCTTCGCTCCTCCTCCTCCTCCTCCTCCTCCTCCTCCTCTTCCTCCTCCTCCTCCTCCTCCTTCTCCTCCCGTCCTGGTCCCCCT